CGAGGGGTCCACCGAGAGGCGGTGGGTGATGACCCTTCGGCTAATTCCCGGCATGTCCTCCGCCCCCCATGAAAAGACAGTGGAGTAGGCGCGGAGGGCGTCGGTGATGCCGGTCTTCAAATCTTCAGGGAGCTGGGCTCCAATCTTCACGACTCTCTCCGGCTGGGCCGGATTGAGCGCGAAGTCTTCTACGTCCTCGGCCGGTTCAGCCCTCGGCCTTCTTTCCTCTTGGTCGACGGTTCCGGTGATGGTGTCAACACGGAATTCCGTCTTGCTTACCTTCTTAGTGACCTGAAGATAGCAGGCGCGGGCAATTTTCTGGTTCCCCCGGGAATAGCCAATGCCCCCTTCGGCGGGGAACTTGAGGCAGAGGTGCCTCATAGAGATGATGGCCTCGAGGTCTTCGAGGGATGGCCGGCCAAGGATAATGTTGTGGGCGCAGTCAATGTTGACGACGACGAACTCCACTTCGAGCTGGGCTCTATGGAGCCCGTCGCCGACGATCACCGGGAGGGTTATTACCCCCTCGGAATCAATAGTATCGTCGGTGAAACCGGCAAGAGGGGTCTTAATGGGCCGAAGGGACCCCCTCTCCAGATGCAGCTCTCTGAAGGTGCTGAGGTACATTACATTGACGGAGCTGCCCGTGTCAACGTAAGTTCGGTGAATGATGGTGTCGTTTATCTCCGTCCGAATCACCAAGGCATCCCTGTGAGGAGAAGAAGTAGGAGGGAGATCTGCGTTGGTAAAGGTGATGGGTTCCTCCCTCAGTCGCTTTACCGGGGGCATATGAGTGACTTCCCCCACGTAAAGCGATTGAGCCCACTTCTTTCGTTGGCTGGTGGAATCGCCCCCCGTATTACCACTGGTGATCATGAGGATGTGGCGTTTCTTCTCCTGGTAGTGGGGGTACTCCTCCTCCTCTTCTTCCAAGTTTCCGATCTCCCTCTTCTTGCCGAGGGGGATGGTGTTCGGATTTACCCAGGCATTTACCTTCGTATGGTGCCCTCGGGGAGGTCCCTGATGAGAAGGTCCCTCCTGCCGAGGGCTCTGGACAAACTGGGACAGGTGCCCCGCCTGTATTAATCTCTCGATGGCCGTCTTCAGCTGATGACAGTCATCGGTCCTGTACCTCCGGGGGTGCGCGAGAATCGCGCTCAACGAGGCCCCTCTCCTCGGCAAAATCGAGGATGATGCTGACGGGGTGCGTCAATGGTGTCCGAGGGCGGTCCAAGAGAATGGGCTGGGCCCAAGTCTTAGGGTTGCTCTTATAACCTCCCCCGGGCTTGGCTTGGCCTTGCCGAGGGCGGTCATCGGAGGGTCCCGAAGCCTTGGGGCGATTCGGAGGAGCCCCCGGCCCTCGGTTATGCTTGTTGTCAGCCCTCGGGGGCTGCTGGTCCGGATGCTGGTGATACTTCTCCACCTCCTCGGCCTCAGCATATCGGTCCCCCCGCTGCAAAGCCCTTATGTAGTCGCGGGGGGGGGGGGGGGGTTCAATGATGAGGCTCCTCGAAAAGTTGCCGGTGCGGAGGACGGTTTGTAGGAGGGCCAGGAGGGTCCCGTCATCAGCACCGTCGACCTTGTCGGCCTCCGTCCTCCAGCGCTCCAGGAAATCCCGAAGGGTCTCATCTTTCCTCTGGCGTATTGTTAGGAGGTGGGAGAAGTGCTTCCTTGTGCGACGCCTCCCGGCAAATTGCGTCAAGAACCGTTGGGCGAGTTCTTGCCACGAATCAATACAGCCCTCGGGCAGCCTGTTGAACCATTCGTATGTCGGCCCCTCTAAGGTGGAGAGGAACCAACGACACAAATATTCGTCCGACGCCCCCACCATCATCATGCTGTTCTGGTACTTGCTGTAATGTTCCTGGGGGTCCGTTTTTCCGTTGTAGGGCTGTATATGTTGCCCTCGGTATTTTTCCGGGATCCGGGCCGCCAATACCCTTGGAGTAAATGGCGTCCGAGTCCGGAGCTGGATGACGGGTTCCCCGGAGCCCTCGGCCACCTTCTTCTGTAACTCCTCCATCTTGGCCATCATGGCCTCGTATTTGAGATCTGAATGAGGGGCGGAGGTGGTGGCGTGAGCTTTGTTGGACTCCATCTCGTCAAGCCGGCGTTGGAGGGCCGCAATAATCTCGTCCCGGGGGTCCTTCGGGAGGGTCTCCGCCCCCTGCGAACGAACCCGGGCCGAGTGGGCCTGGTTGATTTGGTGCCGAGCATCATCGGCATGAAGGGGTGCCTTGCCTTTGTCCTGAGGGGGACGCTCCTCGTCTGCCCTCGAAACGGATCCCCCGCTTTCCTGGGGCCTTTGGAGTGCTTTCCCCCCGAGGCGGTCTTGGACCCCTCGGCGGTCTGGCCCTCCTCCGAGCCGGTTGAGGGCGGAAGTACGGGGCCTTTCCTTGTTGTCATTATGGCGGTCCCGGGACTGAACTTCCTGGGAGGACGTATCTTGGGCCACCACCCCTTCGTCGTTTCTCACCCGAGGGGTGGGATTTCCGAAGGGGTGTGGCAGAGGGGGAAGTATGATATTTTCCCCGATCTGAGGGTGAGCTGGAGCCAGGGCGCCGAAGGCACCCGGGTTCTGGGTGAGCGTCTGGATGAAGGCGGAGAGCGCCGATTGCACGTCGATGGTGAGAACCGGGGGGCTGTCTTGGTCATCGCTCCGGTTTTTCTTCTTGGCCTCGATGCCGAGGCGGGCATCGGGGGCATTTTGTTGGATCTGGAGGCGTAGGTCGACAGCCGCCTGTTCCAGCCCAGCGATGACACCGCCCTCGGGAGCCCTGTGAGAGGCTTCGGGGGCGTTGACGTCGCCGAGGGCCAGGTTCTTGTCTTCTACGTTCTTTGAGTTGGCACGTGTTGTCCTCACCATTTTGATAGAGGGCTAGTGTTTTGTGTTTGGTTGAGGGGGAGGGTTTCTTACTCGATTGTTCAACCTCTCAACGAGAGCACCAAATGATGGATAGTCTACCCGGGGGTATATATCCGAAGGGTTATTACGGGGAATAACTTAGAGAGAAGTCAGAGCAAGTAAGTGAAAGTAGAGAGAGAGTGTATTCAATATGAATGCCGTTTTCAGCGTGGTTACAAATGGGGAAATGGGGTGCTATTTATAGTAGCAATAAATGCCGGGCAGGGACACGTGTCAAGCGCTTATTGGCCGAGGGGTCACCTCAACTGGTTGGCGCTGGCAGCCGCATGTGGCCGCATTTAATGCGGCTGTTGGATGGGACGTCTGTGCGGGGTACGGTGATCTGTACGCATGTGAGGCGGATATCTTGTCGAGTGAGATGCCTTCGGCTATAGAGCAGTAGCCGAGGGCTCTTCCACCCGATGGCACCCTGGTGCCGAGGGCTCACAGTGCCGAGGGCTACTGTTTTCGCCGTTTTCTCCCAGTTTCTTAATTTGCTTGAGAAACCCGTTCTGCGAGAATTTGGAGCCTTCGGTCAGGGGGCCGAAGGCACCCCGGGCGCGTTGTGCGGGCTGCTTGGTACTCTGGGCGCTGTGATTTGGGCCTGTTGGGCCTGTTGGGCCTTCGCTGGAGTAGTAGGAGTCTGTGGACCGGGGGTTCCCGGGCCATATACTCCATCAAGGTGCTTACACTAAGAGTTTGAGACCTAATTTTATGTGGGGTTCCCAAAAACTCAATACTCTCCATCCTACAAACTTTGCAAGTTTGACTGACATAGAGATTAATAAAGTAAGAACTGCGTGGTTGAGGTTTGTGCAGAGAAGAGAAAATTAACCGGAATTACACATTCTTTACTTAAAAGAGAAAGTGGAAAAGTTAATGGGATACCCAAAAAAGAAAGTTGGCAAAGTTTTAATGGAGGGAGGGAGTATGTACTAGTAGTTATTTATTTGATTTTCCTGGTTGTTAAGTGCTCCTTATTACTCTAGAATGGTACAACTTTTTAGTTTTTACAAAAGAGAAAATAGATTTTTTTTAACAAATTTGATTAATGATTTTACTTCGAATACTGTTGGGTTATTTTGGAAAATAAAAAATTTAATTAAATAGAGTCAAGAAAAATAGAAAGAAGGAAAAGAAAAGTCAACACACAATTTCCTTAAAATGTATTCGTTGTTTCCCAAGATACGGTGGCTAAGAACAACTGTTTGAACACACAAGCGATTGTTCCGGTGAACGAGAAAAAAGACTAAACACTCAGAAATTTTTAGAAAGCTGGAAGTGGCTTTTGGCTCAAAACTACGTGAACAACGTGAATAACTCATGTGTTGTTGCAAAGCACATGCCAGCTATATATAAGGACAAAATTGTTGTGCGGTAAGTGTGTTTTAATGGACCTCAACGTTGGACATAAATGACCAGACATTTGGCATCAATTCGTTCATAAACTATCCATTTAGAGCTGCATTAAGGGAAAAGAATGTTGGGCAATCAATGCTTAACGGTTCACCAGCAACCTGCTGGTGACCGTTGTACTGCAAGCAGCAACGTGCCGGTTCTGGAGCAAATTCTCTAACGGTTCACCAGCAGCCTGATGGTGACCGTTGTGCAGCAAGCAGTCTGCCCACGGGCAAAGAGAGATTTTCGAACGAAATTCGTGTCCGCATGTCGCCCGCGCACGCAAGTCGCGGTTTTTTTCTCCATTTTCAGGATTTCTCCATTTTCAGGATTTCAACAAGTGAACTTCGAGAATCAATTTTTCATTCACCCGTTATCCAGTTTGAGTATACCATATATCGAATTGAAACCCTTAACAAGACAATCCGAAACCACATTGACCCGACCCAAATCGAAAATGGACCTCACTCAAAATACTTCCCAAAATTGACCATTTAATGCAATTTTAACACATTTTCCAACAAATACTTCTACTAATAATTTTTTAAGACTATCTAATTTATTTGTCCATTATTACATATTTCGGCAAATTCCCAAAGTGGACTTATTTGATTCTATTGAAACTTGAAAGTATAATAAAGACACTTGTGTGAGAAGACTAATAAAATGAAATGAAGTAACCAAATAAGCTCTCCCTAAGAAAAAGAATTAACAAAAATTATACCGCTTCAATATCCATTCAAAAGAATTGGGCTAGAGATTTGAATTAACAAATTCACAAAATCACAACTACTAACGTTTCACGCTCATAAGTATTCATGTCCAAAAGTGAAAAGACCCAACTCTTTGTAACTATGATACACTCTTTTTTTATGAACTACGGAGTATATTACACAAATCTTGTTAATTAATAACTAATCCCATTATGCGGATGAGTTTATGAAGGCATCAGCTTTCTCATTAAACTCTTGCGAGAAGCTCTGCTCACCAAATACCCCACACCTAAACAAACCATCCATATCCCCACATCCACCGCCCATCCCACTCCCTCCACGGCCGCGTCGCACTCTCCGCCGTCCTCCCCGTCAATGACCACCCCTTCCCCACGGCAGCAGCAACAACCACTACTTGCCTCAACCTCTGTTTCTGTTTCTCTTCGCTCAGGAATTTCTTCCAGCCCCAAATGACACCTCCTTCGGTGCCTCCTCCGGGGATGTATCACATCCACCTTCCCGGTGATCCACTCCGCCGCGGCTCCCTCCACCGATATGCAGACCTCCGCCGCTTTAATTCCCAGACAACGGCTGTTTTCCTCTTCCTCCGGCATCAAGCACTCCCACTCCAATTTCCAGAAATCCCCTTCCCAGTCTTTCCTGAAAATGCCCTTCATCAACCTGGAATCTCCCACGTATAGCTCGAACCTCGCCCCTTCGCTGGCTTCGACTCTCTCCCGGCTCCCATAAACCGCCCCTGTCACTGCCGCGGCGGCAGAGACGAGCCGGTGGAGCGCCACGAACCCGGGCGCGTCGGAGCGGATCCTGGACCCGTTTATCTCCAAAGGGCTGTCGTCTATACGCGGGAGGTAATTCAGGGTCAAGAATTCGGGCAAGGAGTTTCGCGCTGTGGGAAAAACGGACACGTGGATGTAGAAAGCTTGCATCTTTATGCAATCTTGCCGGTTTGGATGAAACCCTCTGCACATTTTTGCTTTCTTTTTTGCCGGCGGGATATTTTTTACAATTATGTGAAATGTCCTTTCTTTTTCTTGATGGTTCTGGTTCCTGATTGGGAAAAAAGGATATATGGTGCTTATGAAGGAGCAAAAAATGAAGAAGAAATTGGTTGTCAAAACTTTGGACAGGCGCCCGTCGGTTTTGAATCAATCAAGCGGTGGGAAGCACCCGGTTTTGGGTGGATAGAGTTTGTATTTAAAGCACACAGTTTTATGCCCGCTAGCTTGTGGGTCGACTCGAACACGTCCATACCCGATCCTACGACTCGATTGTTCGACACTTTGACCACAGACTCTTGAAAGCACGACTTTGACTTTATACGTTTGAAATCTGCCTATGTATAAAGACTTGGGCCGGACTAGATGGGTCAATCTGCAAACTGGTGACCCTCTACGAACAGCGACATATAGGGAAACCCATAATATAATCCGCCACAGATAGTGATCCGCTGCAGATTATATGGTGCAATCGGCGCATCATGATGATGATATGCCCGGTTGCAAAACGACGCAGTATTGCGGCCGGCCCCTTCCCAACAACACTCTCCCCCCCAGCCACCATCCTCATCGTAGATTCATTGTGCCCCAGCAAGTAGGAAGTGAGCAGCATTACTCTTCTTCGTTGGATCTGGAGGCGCTCTTCCTTAGTCGAACTATAGAGGCGGAAATTGAATAAGATGAGATGGGATAGAGCAGCAGCAGACTCGAGCTTATGAAAAAGTAGATGAGTTACATCTTAATGTACGCGAGTTATATCTTAATGTATGTGAGTTACACCACGGAATAAACTCCAGCTATATCATTTTGATTCCCTTAATATTAAAAATAAAACATATTCACTATTTATAAAAAAGTAATTAAGCTATTGGGATCAATTTTTTATTGTTTACATTGAAATCAATATTTTTTTCTTATACTATGTATTTGACAAGTTACATTTCGAACGTACTTGAGTTACATTGATCAATAACACAAGTTATATCTTTACACGCGAGTTACATCATTCATGCTACTGGGACAAAAAAAATTGCTACTGGTGATTGGGAAACATCATTCACGCGTGTACTGTTCACGCATATACTGTGCACGCGATTTTTTTTAAATTGTGCAAAACTACGTTGTTTTTGGGAGGGGAGTATCATGCTCAAGGTGCGTTGGTTACACCGTATACGAACTGGTGATCCGCTACCAAAATTATTGGAACCTTTCGCAATTAAAAGATCTTATATGTTGACATTGGAAATAAAAGAAATATTCCCCACTAATTACAGAGAATTTGACATTAAAAGTCTCATTTTTCGTTTGTCTTCTTGAAATATTCTCGGCTAATCGTGATAAAAATAATCCCATATTTACCGTCTCTCTTTTCATTGTATGGCGGTCAGAAGTTTTTTCACTTTCCAAAAAACAAATCTTTCACATATGTTCTACAAATAGTCTCGTTACAAATTACCGAGAGTAAAATTAGAGTAAAATTAAAATGTAGAACTTCGGATGTTTTTATTCTAAAATAGAACTATTTTACTTCTATTTGAAAACATGCCTAATTTTTCATTTCAATTGTTGAGGTTTATTCCCATCAACCCGCAGGCCCAACACGTAACGTGGGGGTTTCGAATGGGTGAAGGGCAAATAAGATCACTAGACAACGGGGAGTGGGCCAATAACTGTATTTTATTCACTCCAGTGATTACAAGCTGAAGGGCCGAACGTACTAAGCTAGACTATGAGCTGTTACTGCTATTACAATGCTAGAGAATCAAAGTGCGAACCCCTTTCAATGAAATAAATGTGACTATTTATAGTACCCCATGGTGGTTGGGGGGTTGACGTGGCTGGTTGTGCGCGACATGATCCCAACCACCAAATCTCCCGCATTTAATGCGCTTTCCGCCAGGATCTTTGTAATACTCCAAAATTTTAAATAAAATAAAAATGGAAATAAATACTTGCACAAAATAAATTAACTATATAAAATGTCGGATTTAATTAAATAACATTCTTAAGAATAATACAAAAATTATTGAAGAGTCAAGACACACATACATATAGATATAATATCATACACATATATACATCATACATAAGTACGTATAAATATATATACTAAGTACATATAATATCATAAGTACGTATAAATATATATACTAAGTATAAAATTATACACACATATACTTCATATAGACATAATTCACATATATGTAATAAACATAGTACTATATGACACATATACATATGATACCACATACATACGTATACTACTACACACATCTACTTTGTAGGTCAGTAATATAAAACATATGTGTACGCATCTCATATCCAGCAGAAAATACCACGCATCATACTTTCGGGTGATTCAGCAGAGCTTAGGATTATTCAGTCAAACACTTGTGAGAAATCCTACGAACCAGCCAAAACAGCAAACATGAGTAAGCTTTGGCCGATCAAAATGTCTACCTATATAAATAGTTGGACTTCTTGCTTTGCTCAAAACAAAAAGGAAAAGACTGAACAAATACATACATATATATAAAAACATACGTAAGGGAAAAAGAGAGAAGGAAAGAAAGAAGACCGTTGTATGCCGTTAAGAAATCACCGGCCGCCGAGGAGGACCATTTTCGTCGGAGAAGGAAGGAAACACTGACATGAAGCTTACTGGCTGCACTCCATCAATAGGCCGACTCACTTCCTAGCTTCTGAAGTAGGAACGATTTGCCGTCGTCACCGGAACGGTTGCTGCGGCGAGTGGAAGTGTGTCGCCGGTGGTTCTTGCTCAACGGAAAAGACGTACAGTACAGTACGTAATACTCTGTATATACTTATGTTCCTTACTGTTTTTTTTAAAGAGGTCTGGGTTGCACACTTTGTTATTAAACACGGGCTGCCTAAAAAATGTAAAACATATAGGTTAGTTAAATAATAATAATAATAATAATAATAATAACATAGCACATCTAATAGTAATAAAATAAAATAAAATTAGAATAACTGGACCGTAGAAAGCATTAGGTGGATTTTGTTCACTCTTATTACATTTGACATTTTAGAATAAGTCAAATCAAATAGACTGATTAAGATATAAACGTATGGATGAGTAATATTCATGGAACAAAATAAATGGACATATGGATATAAATAAACTTAGCTACCGTAAATGTATAGTTATAAACAAATTAAATAGAACCGATTAAATCTCAAAAGTCAATTAGTAGAATAGGATGAATTATCTAAAGTAAGATAAAATACTGATTATGCTATTTTAAAATTACTAAAGGTAATTATTGCCAAGATTGAAAAAGAAGAAGGTAGAAAGTGTCACAATTTTAAGGTAAGTTCCATGTCAACCAAAACTATATTTTTACCTCGTAAATCTATGAGTGAATGTTACTTGTATTTATTTGAGTATTTGGTATCAAATTAAATTATGAGTATTTGGGTTTGTGCTATTTATGTTGTATTTCGTATTTTGAGTTATTTACATAGTATGTCATATTTTGAGCTATTTTGAGAAATCAGGTTTTAAGGATAAAATATCCTTATTATTGGAATGTTGGAATTTTATATATCTATAATAGATATTGGGTTTTGGAAAGTATTAAAGATAAAAATTATTTTTCATAATTGTGGGCATCACGAGAGAAACCCGTGGTGTCGGTCTTCTTCACGGCCGTTAATTGTGAAGGGGGTGGTTAGGGGCTACTACTGCTTTTTGGTGGATTCGGTACTATGGTGAATTATTTAAAATTTAAATATTAATACCCGGTAGACATTTCGGTATTTTTGTGAGGGCTTTAAAAGTCCTTTGGTGGTCGCAGTAGTAGTTTTCTAGTCACTCAGGGAGTATATCCCTTTGAGGAGTAGCTGGTAAAAACTATCCGGGCTACTTGGGCTTCTTACTACCCGGAGGGCTTGGAATCCCTTTTAGGGGGTGTGCACACTTAAGGTAGAAGTTCAATTTTCTAACAGGTGGTCGGTGGGAGCCGGAATTCCGGGATGAGTTGTAAATAACAACAACTCGTTGGGCTCAAGGAATCTTGAGTTTCGCCCATCTTTAAAAGAAACTTTAGAAACTTTGGAGGAAAACCAAACATACAATTATTATTCATTATATAATATTTTCCAAATGTGTATATATGTCGTAAGATGTTTGAATTAACTTTTGAATGCTCTATTTGTTATTATGAAATTTATTTGAATTATAACATTTAAATATATAATACTTCAATCTATATTTTGTATATATATAAATATATATTTTCTCCAAATTATATTATTTTACGGGGTTGGGTGAAATCTTACTTAGCGAAAGCTAATTTTAGTTTCTTTTTGTTTTCTCTTTTCTCTGTGTAAATTTTCAGGTGATGAATATGACGAATGACGAACTTCGAGAGCGCAACTTAGAAAATCTAGAAATAAAAGTAATGTATAATATTTTAAATAATGAGCTAGAAACTCTTTACTTTTATTGAAGTTATATTTAATAATGGTGGATAGCCTTATCATTCAGTTATAAAGGCTGAATGTGGCGGTAACACACCCATGTTCTATGTTATATTCCGCTGCATAACTTTTGAATGTTTATTTTTAATAAACAAATTCTGTGATTCTAAGTATTATTTTGGGAAGGGAATTTGGAGGTGTTACAATCTTGCCTTCCCGTCATGATGTGGGGACGTTCGTTCCCCAGGCTAGACTCAACCCTCTGGTGGCAGCCTGGACCCTTGGGTGGTAAACCACAAAACGTTCATCCCCTGGCCCTTGGGCCCTGCAGCTTGGTCATGCTGAGCTACGTACGTCCCCTGGCCCTTGGGCCCTGAAACTTGGTCATGCTGAGCTACGTACGTCCCCTGGCCCTTGGGCCCTGAAACTTGGCTATGTTGAGCTACGTACGTCCTCTGGCCCTGGGCCCTGAAGCTTGGCTATGTTGGGCTACATACGTCCCTTAACCATTGGGCCCTGGAGCTTGGCTATGCTGAGCTACGTACGTCCTCTGGCTCTGGGCCCTGATGCTTGGCTATGCTGGGCTACGTACGTCCCTTAACCCTTGGGCCCTGGAGCTTGGCTATGCTGTGCTACGTACGTCCCTAGGGGTTGATGGGCTGGCCCTTATTGGGCCATTTGACAAACCCAGTATATAACAATCAAATTGATAAACCCAGTATATAACAATCAAACAATCTAAGCAGTTAAAGAAGAAGCAGATAGAAAGATATGGAGAAGATCAACCGAATCTGGTATACCGTATGAAACCCCGCTGCTCTCCTAGGAGAAGGAGAGCAGCGGAAACCCTACTCTCTCTCTATCTCGCCTCTGCGTCTCTAAAGCCTCAATCGTCCGGGTTCCCGTAAGTTAGCCTCCTTTTATAGGAGAAGTTGGCTAACTTACGGGTTACAAGTGATGCACACTAATTAGTAGTGCATAATTACATGTTTTTATGTTTGATTTATGTTGATTGTTTGACGTTTTATTTAGTTTGTAAATAGTTATGTGATTTCAGTTGTAATTATATTTCAGTCTTTATTTATAAGTTGTAAAGTATAGTTAGGATTTGTGGTGTTGAAAGGAAGACTTTGAAGAGAAGAAAACAAGAAATTTGACTGCCTAGGAGTAAAACCCGACCGGGTAGAAACCCCCACCCGGTCGGGTATGATTTAACAGACGAAATTGCCAAGAAAATCACTGGACCCGGTCGGGTCCTCTACTTGACCCGGTCGGGTCAGATGTGACCCGGGACAAAATGACGTGCGAAGATCACCAGAACGTGGCGGATTATCTGATTTTGACTGGACCCGGTCGGGTAAGTACTTGACCCGGTCGGGTACCCGGCCAAAGGTGTTGAAAAACACCTATA